GAGCAGGGGAGGGAGGGAGGCAGGGCGGGAGCAGGTGGGAGGACCCCCAGGCAGAAGCAGCAGCAGGTGCTCAGATGCAGGGGTGCGTGGCCTGGCCTGAGTTGGGTTCAGAGGGAGGTGGGGTGCATGTGGCTGCAGAGAGGGGCCCATGGAGATGGTGGCAAGGGACGGCAGGGAGGAAATGGGGCAGGTCACAGGCCCAGTGGGGGTGGACACAGTGCAGGGGCCTCTGCTTCTACACGGATCAGAGATGGAGGAGCTGGAGGCCACTGCCATGTGCAAGGTCTGGATTTCTTCCTCTGTCACCTGCCCTGTAGCTCAGGCCTCCCGAGCCTGCAGCATTCCCACTGGAGCAGGGGAGGTGTCACAGGACCTGCTGCTCAGGCTGGCTTGGGGTGACATGAGGAGACAGCCATGGCAGGGTGGGTGGGTGAACGTGGATGCCCGAGGGGCTGGCCCCTCATCCACTGGTTTCTGCAGAGAGCAGGCACTCACGGGAACCCCAGAGGGCCATTGTGTCAGCCCTCGGGCTTCAGGGGGCCTGGGCACTCAAGCAGTCCTGAGACCCTCCCTCTGTGTCCCTGCCCTCACCCGCCCCCTTGAGGGCTCCCTGGGCCACTGTCCCTCAGAGCCCACTGCTGCCTTTCCCCAAGACTGAAGTCTGGGGTCTGCCTGCTGCCACCAGAGTCGGCCAGATCCTGGGCCTGGCACAAGGGCAGGGCGTGCAGCGGGGCCGGACAGCGCCCCATTGGCCAGTTCTCTGCCCCACGGCTGCTGGAGGGTCCCTCATCCAGCAAGCAGCACCTGGGTCCACCTGGCGCCCACTGCCACTGGCCATCATGGTCTCCTCCACGCCTCAAGACAGGCACACTGACCACTACGAGTCCCTTTCGCTCTCCCCATCTCTGTCCCACAGCTGCACCTCTCTGTCCCTCTCTGTCATTTTGGTGGCTTTTGGGGAGACTGAGGAGTGATGCCTGTGTCCCCACCATATATCTAACAGAAGTCTGGGCTCCGGGGTCCGAAGGGGCTGCAGGCGTTTCTCCTGACCCGGGGTGGGCAGGGCCGAGGTCTGGCCCGCTCCGGGCCTTTCCAGGGGGCCTGAGAGGCCGGGGCAGGGGCTGGGTGGCTCCGCGACTCTGTGCCGGTGGCCCGGATGGGCTGCAGGGGGCAGGGCTGAGGCCCAGGCCCATGGCTGTGGCTGCTGGACTTGCCGTGGCCGCAGGCAGAGGGGAGGTTGTTAGGTTAATGAACAGGGGGCGACGCTGCCTCCCCATCCCTCGTCCCCATTACGGGGACAATGGGAGAATAAGCGCTTTTCTTCATCTCCCTGCCGTCTGCTAATATCGCGCTGATGATAATTTCTCTCTAATGGGCCATGTGCGGTAATTATGATGCACCGAGTGAGTAATTGTATCTGACTCCAGTGCCCACCATGGAGGGGGTGGGGGCACAGGGCCTCCAGCCCTCTCAGCCCTGGCAGCTCTGCCTTTGGCCTGGGGCCGACCCCCAGCCCATGACCCCTGGTGCAGGGGTCCTCCTTGGCTTGCCATCTGGGGGACACAGGCTTCCAAGGCCAAGACTCCAGGCCCTCAGCTTCCCAGGACTGACGGGGCCTCCCTCCAAGGGCGGGGCCCAGCAGCAACCCCACTGGAGCCAGGATGGGGCTGCACACCCCAGGGCAGAGCGCCCCTCCCCGCTCTCCTCAGAGGCTGCGGGCTCCCATCTGGGTCCGGCTTGGACTCTGATTCCCCAGAGGGTCCCGTCGGGGGGGCCCTGGCGTCACACACTGTCCCTGGCCGGTCTCCGTCTCTGCTGGGGCATGAGCTCCACCGGCAGGGACTTCTGGGCCCTGCTCTGCTGTACCCGCAGGCACACAGTGGGGAGCCCCATCCACTGCAGGGTGGTGCAGGGCGGACACCAAGGGACTTCTGCCCCAGCCTCACAGTCAGGGAGCTAGGGAGCTGCCACCAGCCCCTCAGACACACCTGGGAGACCCCCTCCCTCCACTCAGAGCTCCCACGTCCTCCCTGCCCGGTATTGCCTCTCTGCCTTTCCAGGTTCCTGTCACATACCAAGCCCAGGCCAGCCTGGCAGAGGGCACTGGGGCCTCCAACAGTGATTGGGCCCTACTGTGTGCCTGGGATGGGCCAGCTCAGGTGGCTGTCAGAGGTCAGGCAGAGCTCTATCCTGTGGTCCCCATGCAGATGGTGAAGTCAGGCCCAGGTCTCAGGACGCACATGAACCCGGAGTCCACTGAGTCTCTGTTGAGGACCCCTGACCCCCACCAAACATTCTCCCAGGACCCTGGGGCCCACGCCCTGCTCCACCGTCCCCAGACACCGTCCTTCAGACTCACCCGGCTACAGTCAGGACATCGCTGCTTGGACCTGTGAGGAGAGTCCCTAGGAAGGGCCTCTGGCCTCTGTCACCATCATCACCGGCCCCCACCCCCATCCCCATCACCACCACTGGCATCACCATCACCATCACCGGTCCCCCCACCCCCACCACCATCACCGTCACAGGCATCGCCATCACCCCCATCACCGTCACCGGCACCGGCATCACCACCATCACCGTCACAGGCATGGCCACTGCCACCGCCGTCTCCACCACTATCACCATTACCATCATAAGACACGACTTCTTGAATTTCTAAAAAACGCAAGTGCCAAACTGGCTATTTTTGCTTGTGAAGCAGTAAACAGGAAGGCCGGGGTTTTCAGAGAGGGCCTTAGGCCCGGCCACTGTGGTTGGTGGTCAGGGAGAACACTGAATGAATTGAACAGCGTGGCCAAACAGGTCAGGAGAGCACTCCCGGTGTCCCTGTTGGCCCAAGACAGAGGCTGCAGGGAGGAGCTGGCTCGAACACATCTGCTCCAGGCCCCAAGGGAAGAGAGGTGGGCAGAGGTATGGCCTCTGGTCTGGAGGGTCCAGGCCATGCGTCCACCTGCCTGGGACAACTTCGGGTAACTGAAGTCTGCAGGTAGATGCGTACAGGTAGCAACTAAGAGGCCAGAGGTGTGGAGTGGGGGAGGACTCACCTCCAGGGACCTGGGGGAAACCACCAACAGTGTGGGAGTTTGTCCCCCCGGCCCCGGCACAGGGCCAAGGGTCTCCCGCCTGCCTCCCCCGCCCCTCTGCTCACGCTGCACCCCACCCTGCCCTCCTGGCCAGGGTCTCCTCATATGTCTTTTCTGGTCAATAAACCTCAGCTCCTGGGGGGCTGGGGCGGGGGGCTGACAGCGCTGCCCCACCCCCACAGACGCACTCTGTCATAATTAAGCACTGCAGCCTAATTAATTGAGTGGTCAGGATGCTAATTAGCGGCTTGATTGAGACTGGAGGAGGGTGAAGGGCAACCTTGGCAGCGAGCCCGCCTCCCCTGAGCATCTGCTCTCCGCGTCCCCGGCCCTGGCCCTGGCCCCTCTGTGTTTATGGATGCCCTCCATGCATCTTCGGGACCTGGACCAGGGGCCGCTTGTCCCTTTCTGACCACAGACTCAGCATCCCGGCCCAAAGGCTCGCCAGTGTGAGCTGAGCTGCTCTGTGACGGAACCTGGAGCCTCTGGCCACCAGCCCTGACCATGGCTCCTGGCCACGAGGGCCGTGTGCTCATCTCCCATAGCAGGGCCAATGCCCCTTCCAGGGCCCTGGCCCACCTGTGACCCCCTGGGTTCCTCTGGACTCTGACTCCCCCTGCCCCACTCCAAGCAGCCACAGACCAACAGGGGACCTGGACATGGTGGCTGGACGGGCAGGGGGCTGTGACCAGACCTGGACTCCTCCAGATCCCGCCCTTCTGAGCGGCCCCGCCCCCACAGGCTCCTGGTGTGAGGAGTGGGGTGGGTAGGAAGGCTGGTTCTTCCGCTGATCA